TTCCCTCGCAGATCCGTCGCTGAAAGTTCCCTCGCAGATCCGTCGCTGAAAATTCCCTCGCAGATTCGTCGCTAAAAATTCTCTCGCAGATCCGTCGCAAAAAATTCCGTCGCAGATCCGTCGCTGAAATTTCCCTCGCAGATCAGTCGCTGAAAGTTCCCTCGCAGATCCGTCGCTAAAAATTCCCTCGCAAATCCGTCGCTAAAAATTCCGTCGCAGATCCGTCGCTGATCCCTCGCAGATCTGTCGCTAAATATTTCCCTCGCTGATCCGTCGCTGAAAGTGTCCGTCACAAATCCGTCGCTGAAATCCGTCGCTGATAGCATTACCTACGACTGTTTGACCGACGGAGTATCAGCGATGGATTAGCGACGGATTTCCCTTTCAGCGAGAGATTTGCGAGGGAATTTTCCCTCGCTGATACTCTGCATTTTTGTAGTGTTTGTATCTAAAAAGTACTAAAAAAACGGTGTTATATGAATTATTGGTATTTCTTGAAACAATAGAAACAGTAATATGAAACATGAATTGTTCATTTATTGATCAATGAAATGACTATGTTAAAGTATCTTGTTTTCTTATTAGCTAGATGTTCGGCAACATGCTTTTCAAGTTTCTTAAACACCGCATCAATTACGGAATTTCCGAAATGAGACGTCAACAACGGCTCTGTAACAGCTCTCAGAACTTGTGCTGCGTTTTTCCCGTGTCTGTGGCTGTCCTCCTTAAAATCGTTTACATTTGTGTAATCGGTGTCATATGGATCCCAATTTCCTTGAAAAACATCCAAGCTATCAAGAGAAAACGATCCTTCGTTATGAATAACATTCCTAACTTCATCTTCGCATGGTGTATAAGCCGGAAGATTGAATGAGTTGATATCTGATTCTCGAACTAGCCCCTGTAGTGTTTTTTAACCGTAAATGGTTAGTTGACGCCAAAAAGGTGTTATAGGACTTAATTAATAGAACCAACAAATTAAACATCATATCTAAAAGCGTGGTAATAAGTTTATAGGACACTTTTGAACGTCTTAACAAGTTTTTTAGGACACTTTTAATACAAAATGTTTTATTTGCAATTTTATACAACACTGTTTGGAAAATTGTCATATAAAAACAAATATCGTATAAAAAGATGAGTTTATAAGACGCTTTCTCAAAAACATCAGCTTTCTCAAAAACGTCTTATAAAATTGCTAATGCGACGCTTTCTCAAAAACGTCTTATAAAATTGCTAATGNGCTTTCTCAAAAACGTCTTATAAAATTGCTAATGCGACGCTTTCTCAAAAACGTCTTATAAAATTGCTAATGTGACGCTTTGTTTTAAAAGTGTCCGAGCCGGGACATGAGACAATTTCTAAAATTAATAGAAGCAATTCCTTTTATAACTTGCCCAAAAACGTCGTATTAACTTATTAAGACGCCTTTAAAAGATAGGAGGCTTTATATTTTGGTTCTATAAATTAAGTCCATATAGAACAGTCTATTAAGACGCTTAAAAATTAGTGGCATCCTATAAATCCAATTTTGTTGTAATGGGGAAAATATGAAAATAGAAAAACCATAAACCTCTTTCAGCATATCGACAAGTGATTGTGCTAGTAGCTCCATGTGACGACAACCATCATCACTAGTCGGATCAGCATTACTCCGACCAAGAAATGTTAAAACCATGCGCCCACCGCATACTATTTCCTCAGATCGTAGTTTCAAAAACTTTCGGAAGTCTAAATAAAATTGCTTTCGATATGCTTCGAATACATTTGGAGGACTTGTTTTTGCCATGCATATATTTGCTTTGTTGTT